AACCAACCGTGGCCTGTGGGTTTTAGAGAGGGTCTGAGAGATGATCGACGCCCTGGCTGTGCCTGGGCTAGAACCCTGTGAAGCTGCCTCACCCCAGGAGGAGCCCGCCCTGTCGCCCAGATGTCACAGACAGATCTCCTAGTGCAAGAGCCAGAGTGCAGTGCTTTGCTTTTCTTTCCCTTTTTTGGACTTTTCTTAAATAACAGAAAAGACATTGGAACTAGTGTAAGGAAAAAAGGGGACAATTAAAAGGAAGAAGAATGTCCATGGAACTTGAAGGCACAGATGACTTGAGGCCTTGGCAACTCAGTGGAAGCAGTGATGGAAGGCGGGGCATTCTGGGTGCCCATGGTCTCCATCCTTCATCCCTGCTGCTCTTTGCCCATTGGTTTGCTTCATGTTCTTTCTTGTTGCAGGCTGGCTGTCTCTGTTATTCCCAGAAACAGGCCCCTGCTATCCTCTCTGTGGTTAGGGGGAAAGGGTCAGCTGTGTAAACATTGCTATTCCTGCTACCACTTAGTCTGTGTGGGGAGTAGGGGCTGTCCTGGAAAAGGAGGGAGGGCTGGGCTGGCCATTCAGGAGGTGTCTGCTACATCTACTCCTGACCACTACACACACACACACACACACACACACACCCCATCACCACACACGAGCATCACACACACCACCCTCAGAGCCAGGCTTGCCCTCGGCCACTGTATTTCAGGGATGCCTGGGCCTGCACAGCCCACTTTGGTCATGCAGAACAACAAAGAGTCAAGGTCTCTGCTGAAGGGACCCAGTCCCTAGACACTCCTCCTCTTCCCGGCAGAGGTGAGGGGGGTAGTTCCTCTGAAGGGAGTGGATGGTCTCACTGCCAGCTGCCCTGGGAAGTGACTAATATGGGGCAGGAGGACGTGGGTCCCACCCTGTGGGATGCATGGTCCTGGTCCTGACACTGCTGTCATTTCTGTCAGGCTTTGGTGTAAAGTGTTGGCGCAGATGCTCACCAGGGGGCAGAACACAGCTCCTGAAAACAGCAACTGGCTGCATCCCACCAGGAAGAGACAATTAGACCTTCTTGGAGTTCAGTGGGTGCCACAGGGCATGTGATGAAGTAGTGACTGCAGGCCCACACAGAGGACTGGAAGCCCTGTCTTGTCTTGTCTCATATGTGACCTCATGGTTTAGGCAGTTGTAGTGGGTCTGATAGTAAGAAATGACAACTTGGTTTCAGATTCCTCTTCTGGGCCCCTAGAGAGCAGGGACACAGCAGCCCAGCATTTTTCCTGGTGGATTTGCATTTCCCTGTTTGCAGTGATAGAGAGTCCTTTTCGTCACAGTGGCCTGGGGGGTGGGCAGGAGTACAGGCTCTGGGGTCAGCTCCCAGGGGGTGAATCCCAAGTCCACCACTTAGTTCCTGTGAGAATTTGGGGACAACACTTACCATCTCTCTGCCTCCATTTATCTGTGACATGAGGATGATAGTGGTACCTGTTGTCATAGGGTTTGTGATGGTAAGTTGATGTCAGCTGAACTAGGCCACAGGGCCTGGATAGTGGGTCAAACATATTTTTGGGTGTTTCCGTGAGGGTGTTCTTAGATGAAGTGAACATTTAAATGTGTAATGTTGACTTTAGTAGCATTGGAATCAGTAGCGCAGATTGCCCTCCACAGTATGACCAGCCCCCTGCAATCATCTGCAGGCTGGAATAGAATGAAAGACTGGCATCCCCTGAGCTCCAGGGCATCCTACCAGTAAACAGCCACGACAGCTCTGCCCTGGGCCTCTAGTCTGCAAGCCCACCCTGCAGATGTTGGACTTGCCAGCCTTCATAATCGTGTGAGCCAATGCCTTAAACCAAATCTCCCCTCTATGGATACGCACATCCTATTGGCTGTGTTTCTCTGGAAAACGCTGGCTAATCCAAACTTCTCATTAAGGTTAAATAATGTATATGTATAATTCTTATGGAATAAGACAGGGATGGGTAGCTGCACTAGCAGACTGTAACCTCAGTGTTTGCTCCTGTCCAGGTTCAGCTTCATGGGTGCCTGTGTTCTCTCACTCTTTGAACACGTCCTGGGGCTACAGAAAATGTCCTCATACCCTCAGCAATGACCGAGGGCAATATGTTTTGCTCCAAAGGTCAGGCACTTCTTATGTCATCATAAAGGGATGGCACCTGGCCAAGATAGCTCTGTTCTGCATGACTTGGAATGTATGGTTTCTTGACTTTGTGCGGAAAGAATTCCAGACAGGAGTCCAGGTGATTTTGAGAGTATATTTAGTAAAACTTTGGGACAATGAACCAAAGGAAGAGCTTAACAGAAGAAGCTGGAACACAGTAATAGTAGTGAGCCTAAGCTGGGCCGCTTAGACTCAGGAAAGAAAGTCCCAGTAACAGTGTGGAGCCCAGGTGGGGCTGCTTTTGGCTCCCTGAAAAGTTAGGCATGAGGAAAACCCTTGGAACTTAGGAGAAAGAATGTAAACTTACACGCCCAAGAAGAGCAGAGGAAAAGACTGAACACTGGGTATTTAGTCTTAAGGGTATTTATCTGTTTTCTGCAGGTGGGAATTTTAGGGGAGGTCTCAATCAGAACATTCATCAGCTTCCCAGGTGGGTCCTGTAATATGCTGATGCACCAAAGTGAGGTATAGTGGGGTGTGGGGTCATTCTCTGCTCAGCTTCACCTCTATCTTGTATTTGTCTGGATCTGACTGGGATTTTTTCTTTTTATTCCTCTGACTTTATTTGGTTTTTGGATTTGTCTGACACCAATGGCACAAACTGGGTCTCTGCTATCTCTCTCCCTGACTAGGGTGATTTAAGCTACCCACTATCTAGTTAGAGAGGGGAGATGTGAACCACCTGCTCGTAAGTGGCTTTGGTTAGGGAGGGTAGGGACTTGTGATTTCTTATCTGGCTTTAATTGCTCAGCTGTTCATTTAACTGCTTTCTCTCTGTTTCCCTCATTCCACTGTCAAGGAATTTTTCTAGGTTCTCACTGACCTGCCTCAACAGAGGTGGCATGGCAGGAAGGGGAGGCTGACCCAGACACCCTGCCTGCCATGACCCTGTGAACCTGTGGCCCCGACAACCATCACAGCCCCAGCTGGGAGTTAAAACTTGGAGGACAGTGTCTGGGACAGGCCCCGAGCAACCAGGCCCCACCATTAGCTTCCTGTGGAGAAAAGCAGAGCTTTTTTAGGAGGATCTGGATTTGACCTTGAGAATGAAGTAAACTACAGTGTATACATGGGCTCTGTCCTGTGCAATGTGATGCCCAGTGCAAGGCAACAGGAACAAATAGGTTTGTCCTGAGGATGTTCTTCCATGCTTCTCACACACTTACAGGAGGGCTCTGGCTGTTTGGTGAGGAAACAAGCTCTGTGACATACTGGCATATCTTTTGTCTCTTAACAACATAAGGACTTCAAATTCAGAATGCAGTCATGCACCCGCCACATGCAGCAGAAAACTGCCCACAGGGCAGCTGGTCTGGATTACATTTAAATACAATTCATTGTGCTGCTTCCTTGTCCTTGGAGGAGGAGCACCAGAGTCCTGAGTGCAGAGTCCTCATGATATTTTCGCTTCTGCACAGGCTTCTCCTACCTGGGTCCAGAAAGCAGACACAGCTCCCTGAATCTTAGGAAAAAAACATTCTCTTTAAGTACAGGTGTCCTGCACCCACCCAGTGAGCAGTGAAACCGAAAGATTATGCCTATCGTTTACTACATACTCCCTTGGAGCTGAACACTGATCTGAGCTCATACATGTATGTCATTTAACCCTCATAACAAGCATCATAGTCTGGGAGGCCATAGAATGGACACCTTTAGCTGTGTGGTGGAGGGTAAGGAGAGTGGGTGAGGCCCAGGTAGATGGTGGGAAGAAGTGACTCTGAAGGAGGAGGGGGACAAAGTGGGGAGGGAGGGATGACAAACTTGGGCTTCTGCGTATTGCAATGGGGTAAACTGAGTGGAGCTTTGCTCTCACGAGTTGAGAATGACATTGGTGCAAATGACTCAACACCAGCGGGTTTAATTCTAAGATTACTGATTCACTGGGGCCGAAGGGGATGGCCTACTAATGGGGGAATTATTACTTGGGTGGGTCTTTGAATTCCATGAACAGTATAGTGGCCAGGAAGGGAATTAAAGGATATATTTGGGGAATGTCCTTTATCATTTACTTATTCATAAACCCTCACTTAACACCCACTGTGTGCCAGTGACTGCCCTGGGCACTGGCAATAACCTGCTTAGACATGGCTCCTGTCCTCAGGATGCTTACCATCTAGTGTGGAGGGACCAGGAGAAAAGCAGTCAGGACAATGCCATGTGCTGAGTATTCTGATGGGATGGGGGACACAGGGTGCTCTGGGAGCACTGGGCAGTGGTGCCTAAGCCAGCTGCAAAGACATGGAATCACTGTGCACAGCAGAAGTCATTGAGGTGAGGTCTAGATGCCATTCCCCCTGCAGCCTCCTTCACCCTCTCCTGGCTCTAGGAATCCAGCTAAACTTTAACAACCACAAAGCACGGCTTGAACTAAGAGAAAATCCAAGCTCAATATTGACTAGTAAAAAGTAAATCTTTTTTCCTCCTATTTACAAGGCATTTAAAACCCACAAGGTGTCCATTTCCATGGTGTGTCTCCAGCAGAGGTACCAGCTGCATTTTCTTCCTAATTCTCCCCACATATCAGTGGCACAGAGAGGACTCTCAGCCTGGCTGTGGTGGCCACTGGATGGGGAGTGTGGGTGAGGCTTCTACAAGGTTTGCAGGTGTCCTGCCAGCTGCACATGCACATTCCTGAGATGCTGCCATCCCACCTGGACCTCTGGCCTGTAGAAGTCAAGGGAGACAGTCTGGGTGCCCACAGGGCGATCCTGGGCCTGGACATGTAATGCCCAGCAAGTGCATCACCGACATTTCATAACTTCATAATAGAAGGCAGGTCAGAGGCCAACTTGTTTAGAGGCAGGACTCACAGTCAGGTGAGGAGCCCTCATGGTTCTCCTCCATGGCCCCACCCCTCCCAGATATCCATAATCAGGTGAGGGTCAGACTCCTTCAGGGCTTGGTAGAGTTTATCTTTGCGTGTCTTGTTCCAGCTGCTGCTGAAGCTGAACAGCATCCTCATCTTGGCTGGATTGGTGGACTCAGCCCGCACCTTCTGATACTGCTCGTCACTTAGCATTTGTCCATATAGCTTGTCCAGGACTTGGTCCACTAAAGCCACTCGAGCCACCAGCTGCTCCCGATGCCGGTCCACAAAGTGCAGTAAGGCTGGGGCATCTGGGGGTGAATGTGAGTTTGGCAGCAAATGAAGAAGAGCTTCCACTACAGCCTCTACTTCTGATTCCCCACCTCTAACTCTGCACTCACCTTCTCTGCCTCCTTGGGTGCCCCCACCCTGTGAAAACATGGACCACCAGACACGTGGTCCATGCCTCTGCCTCCCTCATGTCAGCTTCCAGCCGAGACTTCTGCTGGAGCTGGGTGTGGGGCTGGGTTCATGATGGAGGCATTTCAGGTTGTTCTATGGAAGGTGCCAGGGTCTCCATGGGCAAGAATAAGGAGGATGGGGAAGGACTCTGCCCTGGGGCACACACCACTCTCCAAGTCCTGGTCTGTTGTAAAGTCTGCAATGATAGAGTCCTTTCCTTTCTCTTCTCCCTCCCCTCCAGGAGCAGAGAGCACACCCCAGACCAGCCATGGCTCCTGTGGTCTCCAACAGCTGCTACTGACCTGTATGGTGTGCAGGGACCAGAGTAGCTTCAGGTCTGAGGTCTCCTGGAGGAAAACAGACAGGAAGAAGCTTCTGTAACAGTGGTAGTTATTAACACAAACAGGAAGCCTTTAAACTGCGACATGTGTCTCACGGCTGAGATTATTGGGTTCTTAGAACAAGCTACAGACTCATTCTAACAGAATTTAGGGAAAGGGTTGCAGATGAGTCCATTCTTCAGGCATATGTGGAAACTGAGGCCCAGAAGCTATGATCAGAGGGACAGTGAGAGTTATTAATTTATACCTGAACACTGTAGACATGTGTTACTTCAGTCTTGGCCTGGAAGGTACCCTGGGGGAGGAATAACTGAGTCCTTGGTAGATAGCTTCAACTGTGAGATCTCCTTTTCAGAATGGAAGTCAACCTCCTTCTCTTTGTCTGGTCTTCTAGATTCACACTGTTTATTTTGGATTTGATGTCAGAATCAAGAATCAAGATCAAGAAAATCTTAGCACTCAGAGTAATGGGTAAATTTCAATGGGAAAAGCAAACAACAACAGTAACAATGAATGAAGGATGTAACAATTGCTTGCAAAGGAAAAGAAGGGGGAGTCCACAGCAGCTCCTGTGGACAAGGCCTGAGAGTTTGGGCCACCCAAGTTCCGGGTGAGCGGACAGTGTGGGAGGTGAGCTCAAGCAGAGGGGAGCTCCCGCTGCTGTGCTGGGAGCATCTGGTCCATTTGAATGGAGGGAGCGGGAGTTCCACATCCTCCATGCTGACTGGATGGTCTTAGAGTCCATCCTGACTCATCCTCAAATGGGCTCATCTGCTGAGCAAGGTGACTGGGATGGCAAAGTTTTGAAAAACTAAACCATAAGAGGAATGATGGAAGGGACTAGTGGTATTTAACTGGCATAGGAAAAAAATTAAGGGAGGCCACTATAGTCTTCAAGTACTGTATCTGAAAGTCTTTACCGTGGGGATTGGGATAGAGCCTCTGTCAGCTGTAAGGGGCAGAATTAAGACTGAAGAGAGGAAGAGACTGGCTTAATGTGAGAGAAAATGACCTTACTGCCATGTTAAGGACTGGTTCATGAGATGAGAACATACATTAGTAGTTTAATTTTTTCTACAATAATACAAGGTAGGTAGTATGGTCTGCATTTTATAAATGCGGAACTGGAAAGTCAGATGAGTTATGTAATTTTCCCCAAATCACCCAGCAAGTAAGTGCCAGAGGGGGATTCAAACCAAGGTCTGACACTGGGGCTGTTTCGTGCACACCTGTGATTGTGCCCATGTGAGACTGAGTAAAACCTGTTCCCTTTCTGCACATGGGAAGCTGTGGTGGCAGCTCAGGAGGTAGATCCAACTTATTTCAACAGCACACGGGCCCTGGTTGTCCCTTCAATGAATGTTTAGGAGATTTTGGTCTTTGAGGGTGTTAGTGCTCACTTAAAAAACTATAAATTGTCATCCATGCCTGAAAATTCATTATTCGATTCTCTCTTGTCTACCTTGAAGAAAGCTTAATGACATAGGGTAAAGTACCTGCTATTGTCAAAATTGGCTTAATTCATACAATCATATAATCATCTAGTTATTGTTTCAGGTCACACCCAATCCATTATGAGAAAAATTACCACAGGCCTTGCTGATGTCTAACTCTGTTAATACAGGGCAGTGTGGAGACATGAAGGTGCATTGGACAGGGAATGGAGTTCAGAGAAGATTAACTTGAGTTCGAATTCCAGTCATACAGCTGTTACATAAATAGAAAGATTAACTTCTCTGGGCTATTCTCAGCAGCAAGTTGTGATAATACAGAGTCTCTCTCTCTCTCTCTCTCTCTCTCTCTCTCTCTCTCACACACACACACACACACACACACACACACACACACACACATTCTGTAACTGACTCTGCTCCCTACACTTGTCTTGAGTTTACCTGATTTCACCAAGGCCTCCCACACCAGAGTTCCTTCTTCCTTGTGTCTTAGGTACAGCCTGATCTTTAACTTCAAATGGCCAACATGTAATTCAGAGAAGAGCTGGGCTTCCCCAGGGTTCCGATAGCAGAGCTCCAGTTCCTGTAGGAGAAGATATCATGTGAGAGGCCACCATTCATCCTGCAAGTGAGGTCTCTCCCCACCTGACATCTTTGTGGCCCTGCTCAGCTCCATGGGAACCCTAGTCCTAACTGTAATTCTAACCCTAGCCATAACCCTTGAAAGATCTGCACTGAAATTAATCACCTGTTCACACTCTCTCTGCTGTTTTCCTCCTCTTCCACAAACACTGACCCAGAAGAAAGAGGGCACAGCTGGGTGCCCCACAGATGAGTCAGGACTCATCCACAGTATAGTGCTCACACGTCCCAAACCAGATCTTTCTCTCTCCTCCTCCCCCATCTTGATCCAAATCCTCACTTCTCCAGCCCAAAGCCTGTCTTCTCAATGGATCATAAGTTTGACCCACTTTGAACCAAGAGAAAACTTATATCCTTCCCCTTTTCTAAATTCCATTCAAGACTTTTGATTCCCAACTGTTTTCCAAGAACTTCCCCTCCCCAGTTTCCCACACTCATTAAATGACACTACCAACCACTGAGCACTCATGTTCCAGACTTAGGCATCCTCCCTAACTCCTACCTTTCTCTCCCATACACCAAGTCCTGTTGGCTCTACCTCCAACCTGTCCCTGAGTCCATGAACTTACCTTCATCTGCACTGCTGCCTCCCTAGTCAAGCCTTCATCAGCTCCTGCCTGCCCTATGCCAATAGCCTTTTGACTTGTCTTTCTGTTTTCACTCCTAACTTCTTATCACTCATTCTTACCCAGCAGCCAGAGGCATCTGCATGAAACTAAATCAGCTCTCACATTACAAGTCAGACCCTCTAAGACACTGTCATTGCACTTGGAACAAAATCCAAACTCCACACCAGGGATACATGGTCGATGGGTCCCAGGAAACTTGTCTCATATGTGACCCCATCCATCTCCTCTCTTTGCTGCAGTCATTGAGCTCTGCCACACTGACCTCCAATTTGTCACAAAGAGGTGTCAAGGGTGCCTGCTCCTCTGCTTCTGTTCCCATAGGACTCTGTCACAGATGTCCCCCCACCAGAACCCTTCTTGTCATTCAGGTCTCAGCTCAGATGTGGCCACCTCAGTGACACCTCCCAAGACACACCTTCCCAGATGACCTGGTGTATAGCAGCCTGAGTTACACTCTCACATGGCCTGGTGTGTTTTCCCACAGTGCTTTATGTTTTTGGTCACTGATTCTTCAATTATTTATGTAGGTCTCAACCCACCATGGTGTCATGATCCCAAGGGCAGGGCCTTCTCTGTCTTGTTCAGTGACCATTCCAACTGCAGCCAGCACGTAGCTGGCAGTGGGTAAACGTCTGTTGAATGACTGAGTCATGTCTCTCCTCCCTTGTTAACAACCAACACAGCAGGAAACTGTAGGGTATTCATCCTTGGATCCATGTATCCCCACTGGAAGGACACACATCACTCCCTCCTGACCACTGCACATCCACTCCATCTGCCATCTCCACTTAGGAGAGTTCGAGGACTCATCTGAGAACAGGAGGGAAAGAGGATCCATGCTGGTTCCACTACAGACTGTCCCTCAGTGGATGCTCTGACCCTGAGCAGCATAGTCTGGGCTGTGGTGAAAATGGAGATATCACAGCTGAGTGTCCAGTGTCCTGATCTCATCTGCCTCTGGTGAGAAGGGGAGACTGAGAGAGGACAAAGGCAGCCCCTGAGGTCCAGGAGCTGGTCTGATGCTCACAGCTGGAAGTGTTGTTACAAATGCATCTGCACTGCCACCTCAGCTGTGCTGTCCTCCTGTTGGACACAGGATCTCCGAGTGTCCCTTTTAGACGGGGTGCTGTGCAGCCCACAAAATGACAAACACCATCCCACCCCTCTGCACTTGTGACTGCTGCTTCATAAATTATGGTTTGTGCTGGCTGAGTCTGCCCTCCCCAGAGACAAAGTCACTGAGGCTCCCAATGACCGAATTTCCCTGCCCTCTGACAACAGCAGGTTGAGAGCAAACCCCCATTTCCTTGGATCTTCCCTCAGGTTACCCAGCCACATCCCAAATCACAAATAGGTTCTTTCTGAGACCCTGTCCTGAGAGGCCCACGATTCCCATTGGTGCATGTTCTCAGGCTGCAATGAGAACTGACCTAGTGTGTTCACTATGGGTGTGTTCCTGGTGCTTGTACTTGGAGAGCATCAATTCTCTGGACTCCAACCCTTCTCAGTTCCCCTAAGTCCACCCTGTTCTTGTCCCTGTCCTGAATGTGACCCTCACTCCTACCAGCTGTCTTTCTCCCAATCTTTGAAGCCTTCTCTCTCACCCCAAACCCCACTTGCTGTCAGCCGTACCCCAACTGGGCCTGTCCTGGGAAAGCCGAGACCTGCCCCAGAGCTATTTCCAAGCATGGCCTCTGACCTCAGGGAGGGGGAACATTGAGGCTGCTCACCTGAGGGATTATTACCATCTCCTCTGAACCAGACACGGTGTATCGGGAGCCCATGTAGAGTGGGGTCATTGGGGGCGGCTTGTGTAGTCGCACAAACTGAAACTTCTTTTCTTCATCATCTATGGCCTGAGGAGCATAGAGAACACTGATCAGGGAGGATGGTCTGGATCTGGCTCAGAGATTCTGCCCTGTGGAATCCTGTCTGAGCAAAGTAAAACTTGCTTCCACGAGTCTGTGTACAGAGGAGGCTGTACCCTCCATGGCATATTGATGCCCCGCTTACCTGCACCCCCTTCCCCTAACTGCTAATGGAGAGGCTCACAGTTTGCCTCTGCCATGTGCAGGGCCCGATTATGGCAAGGCTAGAAAAGAAGTGAGGATGGAAGATGGGGACAGCCCTGGGTATGGAACCCTCCCATCCTCTGACCCTGGAGAGAAGCTGATGAAGTGTGAATGACGACTGATGAGTGATGTGTCCATGGTGAGTGAGAGAGCAGTGAACCTGCCTGACAGAGGCCTTAGGGGCCCAGGAGACCAGTCCATGGCTAAGGAGGGGTGGGGATACTTATCTCTTTAAATTTTCCTGCTCTTAAGAGGTTAATCCTTATGTCCAGCTGACTCATTGAGGGGGCTGTTTGGGTGTCAATCATGTCTCTGTCAGCCCACCCTGGCCTGGCCTTTCTGGTTTGCCACCTTGCAAATGGAGCAGTCATTGGGAATCAGGTAGAGGTGGAAGGTCACTTCCTCATGCTGGAGGTGATGGTAGAGCAGCACATTGGAGGTGATGGGAATGGGCAGGACAGCATGGATAATTCTCAGTAGAACTCCGATGGGGGAGAAGCTGGGGTTCTCCAGGACTGCGTAGTGGGGCTCCACCCTGGATGGCTTCTCCAGGACTATCCCCTCCTCTTTCATGTGGGCCACTTGGAACCAGGACATGTCCATATTTTCTCCTGAAAAGAATGAATTCAAGAAACAAGGATTTAATGCCCTCATGGAGTCAGGCTTTGCAGGGGAAGTGTGGTCCTCAGGTGCAGGCTCAGTGGCCTCCATGGGGGACCCAGCTAGGAGAGATGGCTGGACCAGGTCTGGGTTTTATTGTAGCTGCTGGTACAGGTTCTATAGAGAGGGAGCACCTCTGATAGACCCTCAAGCTAGATCTATACTCAGTCCTTGGTCCTGGATCTGGGAAACGTATTGACCCATGGTTACCTGCGCTGGATTCTGTAATAATGAGGTCTGTTGAGTGAAGTTTGCAGGCCTGACTTCTCACAGGTAGAGAACAGCAAGGAGAAACTAGAGTGGGGGAATGGAGTGTACATGGGTAGTGTACCTTTGTGGAGTGTTTGTCGTGAACCCTTCAAATCCTTCTCTTCTAGAAAGAACCAGCTCCGCCCTCATTGTGTGGGTCTTGGCAGGACTCAAGCTTGGTCTTCCACTTGGGAAGCTGCTGCTGCCATGAAGAAATGACAGAGGTGCGTGACCAGGACTTGACTAAGTGGATGCTCCTAACCAGGACCTTGATCTGGAGGTGGCAACACACAGGTAAAAGGACAGAGGTTCTTTTGGCAGCAGCCATGGATTCAAGAGTCCAGCAGCCACTGTGGCAGGAGGGACCTGCAGGGGCTGTGTCTGCAGCAGATGTCTCCCCATTTTACTTGTGACAGCTTTGACTTCTCAGCATTTTTATTCACTGCCTAGTTTTCCCTTTAAGACTGGTTGCCTAATCATTTGTTGTTCCTATGAAATACTCAATATTCTCCTTAGACGTTCCTCTTGTGCATTAATCAGGCAGTTGTGTTTTCTTTGACTGCAGCTAAGATCTCTGACCAGTGCACCAGATATGAAGATTGACACCACAAAAGAGCTCAAGGGATGAGGCTGGTAGTGAGAGAGTCACTGGCCCAGGTGTCAGGATTCCTGGCTCCCTCCCTATATTGCTTGGCAACTGCTGCAATGCAGGAGGTTTCTGGGCAACCAAGGCACATCCAGGAAGGCTCACAGGCCCTCAGTCTGCATGGTCACCAATGGGAACATTGCTGATTGCTGTTCATCCCAGGAGTGACTGTGGAGATTGCTACATAAGTTTTCTCAAACCTCGTTTCTCAAACATCTCCATATCAATCAATTAGTTTCTCAAAGTGTTCATGGGAAAAATATCAAGAAAACTTTGATTCTCAACCCAATAAACCTTTCATGTTCATACCTATATGATCAATCACTCATCTCTTAGGAATCGTTCAGTTTTCTTTTCTTTTTAAATATATTTTATTGATTATGCTATTACAGTTGTCCCATTTCCCCCCTTCACTCCCCTCCACCCTGTACACCCTCTTCCTCCCACTTCCCCCCTTTTAGTTCATGTCCATGTGTCATACTTATAAGTTCTTTAGCTTCTACATTTCTCATACTGTTCTTACCCTCCCCGAAATCATTCAGTTTTCAAACAAATTGTTTCTCAAACAGCCTTCTGGAACAAATTAACTTCAAGAACTGAGATTCCACTGTATTCATTGTTTATATTTTTAATGAAAAAGAATACCACAGTGGTGTACACCATGTGACAGAATGCAGAAGCATTCACCTCTGACCCCACCAAGCAGTGCAACTATCATTACCATCTTTCCCTGTCTCATGAGTCTTTCTCTGCAGCAGCACCTCTTCATGTTTCCATCACAGCCAGGAGCTTTGTCTCCTGTCTTTCCCATGCTGGTTTGAATGGCCACAAGCCCCAGCAGACCTTTCCAAGGACTGTAGCACATGATCCCTGCTAGGGATGCAGCATCCCTGGTTCACCGCTCCCTCCTTGTTTCAGCTCTGAGGTTCCTTCCATGATAATCAGTCCTGCGGTGCACATGTTTCTGCAGAGAACTTTTCCATTTCCCTTGGGGTAGTACCTTGGAACTGATAAATCCTAAGGGAGGTGAAAAGTGTGTGAAAGGATGACAACATTTCTATGAGTTGCCATATTTTGTACAGTTGCTTCTCAAAGAGGTGGTGCACTTGGCACTGCCTTGGTGACAGTGGATGAGGTCACCTTGCTCTCCACATAACGGGAATGTCCTCACGGTCCAGATGAGGAAATTAAAACCTGTGAAGCAATGTGTTTTTCCCAAGGTCACGAGCCAGCCAGAGCCCTGGGGTGAGAGCCCTGTACTCTGACCACAGTCCATGGTAGCTTATTCATCAGTCTATAGATGGTCAGATGGGAGGAAGTTACCTGTCTCAACTTGTTGTCAGAGCCCTCAGCACCTGCTCCTCAACTTTCCCATGTGAATGGGCCTCTACAGGCCCTGAGCTACCTCATGCCTCCCTCCCCACTGTTTACTCCCAAACCTTCCCCAGTTAGCTTTCCCTAGTGATGCTGTCTGTCAAGCCAGACACCCCCAGACCCTTGGGTCTCTCCCCTGGGGACTGGCCTCTGCTCCTCCTGAGGAGCAGCTTGAATTGACGGCTAGACTTTGTGGCCTCAACACAGGAGCCTCCCCTGGGTCTGGGCAGCTCTTTTCTTTAGTTTTTCATCTGTTTTTCTTTCTACTAGTTTCTGAATGATTGTCCTTACATACATATGTATTTTTTGACTGAGGACTCAAATATTTTACTGTGTATACTTAAAGTCTGAAGTAAATCAATGCTTATATATAGAAGTGACACTAAATATATTTAAGTCCTGGAATGATACCATAAATTAATATCAGTCTATAGAGTGACACACTGCTTAACAACAGGGATGTGCTCTGAGAAATGCACTTTTTGGCAATTTTGTCATTGTGTGAACTTCGGGGAGTGTGCGTGCACAGACCTAGATGGCACAGTCTGCTGCACAGCTAGGCTCCAGGGAAGGCCTCCCTCGTATACGTGGTCTGTCAATGAGCAAATGGTTGTAGGTGCATGACTGTAAATGAAACATTAGAAATATATCGTCCTATATTACCTAACCTATGCATATCATAAGGGTGCTTACCTTATGGCATAAGCTAGAACATGAATTGTTTAATAAATCATCCTATCATAATTCAATAAAGTTCCTGTCTGAGTCCTGTTTGACAGGAGAACCGCATCAGGTCCTTCTCACTGTGTCACTAAGTTGACAGGCATGAGGCGTCTGGCAGCCAGCACTGGCTGGCTGTGCATCTGATGTCTCTCATGGCCTGGACTGGACAGCCTGAGCCGCAGCCCCCGCCCCCAACACTGCTCCTGCTGCCCATGGGCTCAAACTTTGCTGCCCACCCTGGGGGAGGAGCAGAGATGCTGCCTAAGCCACCCTGTCTGTGTTGGCACAGGCGCAGGCCCTTTTCTGTGCCTCTGTGGGCAACACTGGGCGTTGTTGTCAGGTCACTTGTGGTCTCCAGAAACTGGAGGATTCCTCTTTCCTGATGAGTCTGGAAGTATTTCAGCACTTTAACCAGGAGGACAGGGGTGGTGCTGCCTTTGTCTCCTTGTGAACAACACTAGGACCTTCGGCCGCTTCAACACTCTTACTTGCTGTTGGTGTTGGCTTTTAGTTCTCTCTCTTTTTAAATACCCCCCCACTTTGGACGTTGTTATTGCTGCTTTATCTCCCAGTCTTTGGTTTGAGTTATCCAGATGTGTCTCCGTGTGTTGGCGGATCATTTTATCTTGCACCTCACACCTTCCATGTGGGGCCACTTTCCTTTTTCCTGAGACACATCCTTTAGGATTCCCTTAGTAAGGATTTGTTCGTGGAAAGCTATCTTGGCTTTGGTTTGTTTGCAAATGTCTATTTTTCACCTTCTTTAAAAATTTTTTAAACTAAGTCTTGGGGATGTCAGTTGTTAATAGGATCACATAGGTTTCACGTGTTCATTTCTGTGATAATAAACCATATATTGCTCTGTGCATCCGCCACCTACAGTCAAACCATCTTGGTCACCAGATATTAGCCCCCTGCACCTCCACTCCCTTCCCTTTGGCAACCACCACAGTGCTGTCTGTGTCCATGAGTTTCAGTGTTATATCCCAAATGTGAGCAGGGTCATATGGTTCTTAACTTTTTCTGACTGACTTATTTCACTTAGCATAATATCCTTGAGGTTCATCCACGTTGTTGTAAATGGCAGCATGTGTGTTTTCTTGTGGCTGAGGAGTATTCCATTGTGAATATGAGCCACATCCTTTTCTATGCAGTCCTTTATGAAAGGACACCTTGGTTGTCTCCCTGTCTCGGCCACTGTGAATGATGCTGCAATGATGGAGGTGTGCACATGCCTTCATGAATACATGTGTTGGAGTTTTCGGGTAGATAGACAGGAGAGGGATTTCTAGGTCATGTGGTAACTTTATTCTTAAATTTTTGAGGAACTGCCAGACTGTTTTCTATAATGGCTGAACCAGTTACATTCCCACCAGCAGTAAACGAAGGTTCCTCTTTCTTCACCACCTTTCTAGCTATTGGTATCTCTTGTCTTGTTGATAACAGCCATTCCAACAGATGTGAGGTGGTATCTCATTGTAGTTTTGATTTGCATTTCCCTAATAGCTAGTGAGGTTCCACATCTTTTCATATATATATATATGTCTTCTTGGAAGAGGTATCTGTTCAGGTCCTCCACCCACTTTTCATTTGGATTGTTTGTTTGGTGTTGAGTTTTATGAGTTCTTTATATATATTGGACAGGAAACCTTTGTCAAAGCTGTTGTTTGAAAATATTTCCTATTCAGTTGGTTGCAGGGACCCAGTTTTTGTTTTGTTGTCAGTTTCTTTTGCTATGAAGAAGCTTTTTAGTTTGACACATTCCCATTCATTAATTTTTGCATTTACTTCCCTTGCCTTTGGAATTAAATTAATAAAATGTTCTCAATGACCAAGATACATTTAGTATCTGCATTTTCTTCTCTGTAATTTATTATTTCAGATCTTATATTTAGTCTTTGATCTGCTTTGAATTAATTTTTGTACTTGGGGACAAACTATGATCTGTTTTCATTCTTT